TGTATTGCAGTGGATCTCTGCACTGGGACATGAAGAACTCTGACTTTGCCAAGGGTAAAAGCAAGCTCTTATCTTTGGCGCCGAGGGCTAAAACTGAGATCCAACTCCTGCCTTCTGCAAACTGCAGCATGTTTGTTTTATTCTATTATAGCAAGAGCTCTGAGCTGGGCACTCAGATCAAGAGTTCTGGCTTGGGTTTAACTCTGAACAATAAAACATAAACCTCTTTTTCCCCCTAACCTCATCTCAGCAAGAGCTATAAATTAGTTTAGTTACTCAAGATAGTGCATTGTGTGCAATCAATTAAAAGCAAGTTCTGTACCTCTGAAAACAAATGTCCTACAGAGTTTGATAGAGTGTTTTCCTTGTACACCGTTCTGGCTCCGTGGCAAAAATATCCAAAAGGTAGTGGGGGAAGTAAAAATGTGAAGAAATTATGTCCCAATTGTAAGATGATTTTTTTTTTTTTTTTTTTTTTTAAACCTGGTTATCAGGATATCCAGAACCTATTTTTAGTTCTGCTATTTGTGTTATATGGAAGATCAAGAGTATTGTTTAATTTATTACTTCATGTCTTTTTGGGGAAAGTAGGGCTAAAAATATTGGGTTTGCATTTATACTTTGAGTTCTCTCTATGGTAAGGATTATTTAACAATGGATAAATTTTCTGGGACACTGCAGATGATGGCTAAAACTGACTTGCTTGAAAACTGCTTATTGGATTCTGGGGCAAAGTGAAAGTGAGTCTGCTACCATTCTGATCCAAGGTTCAGATGTTATCAAGTTAGAAAGAAGTAAGATTACCTTTTGTTTGAAAATGGTGCGATAAAATATTGCTAATAATATAATGTATAACAGTATTATAGAGTTAGTTACTAATCATGGGATGGTTATCTATTCTAAGCAATAGACAACAGTGGCTTTAAATTGCAACAATAAAGTTTTCAGGAAAACTTGAGGTATGGCTTTAAGACCTCAGAAATCTTCCTAAGATATGGTGGGCATCTGCCCACATGATTAGCTGTTGGTATGGTAACAATCCCTGATTAGTGAACTGCACAAGTTAAAATCTCCCTTAAGAGGCTAAAGACTCCTAGACATAAATATTCTGTACTAGTGCTGCTCATAAACATTTCTCCCATGAACAGTCATGTATTTTGCTCGAGATGTGGTGGCCAAATTCATCCATGGTGTAACTCTACCACAGACAGAGTTTATGCCAGGGAAGGTTTTGGTTCAGATTATTATTTGGATTGAGAGCAAAGGGTTAGAAGAACTTTCAGCAGGTGTGGATTTGAAATAAGGAGACAGCAAGTTGTTCTTGATGCTGCTCTAAAGGATAATGTAAACTGGGAAGGACAATTACAGGATGAACTGTAGATACATTATACAAGTACCATCGTCATTAGTCTAGGGATTATGTGTGTATAGTTAGGACTAGAAAGGGAGTGCTGTGGTAGATTGGGAAAATCATAGGTCATACTGGAAAGCCCTGTTACACTGCAGGTTTTATTCCCTTGTAGGCTGGATATGATATTTGCATTTAAAAAATGTTAAGAGGTGTACATGAGGCATTCTTGGCTTTAAAACAAAACAAAACCAAACCACCCTGAAAAAACCCAGCAGCTTTTTATTAATCTTTGGTCAATAGTGTGGGTCACAGCAACTACTTTTGCTTTTTAAAAATTCTGACTCTTTATCTTCCCATGACTCTGGCCCTCTATTGAACTTCTGTACTTTTACTTTCCTAAGTAGGGTCCTTTCTGCACTATGTGGCAGCTGCTTGCTTGAATTATGTGCTTTTACCCTCTTGCCTTTTTTTTTAAAAAAAAGATAGTTGCATGAGTAAATTGAGCCCATCTTAAAGCATAAAGGTAAAATAACCAGTTTCAGTCCTTCCTGAATTGAGTTAGGAACCATGACAAAATCTTATGTAAGACTTACTCTTCTTCCCGTGCTTAAATGACCAACAGCTCATAGAATTACTGTTTTCATTAATCAAAGTCAGCACGTTTGTGCCCTTCAAAAGACCTTTCATACCTTATGCTGCCAACTGGGTAACCATCCCTTAGCAAAATTTGTGGTAGCTTGTATTGTGCCCAGTTGGAAGTTTTTCAAAAATTTGGAGATTCAAAAAATAGTATAAGGTGATATAAGCCCAGTCAGAAAGTTATTATACTAACTATTATAAAATAGTAGGGAGAACCTTGATTGCTAAACTGGAACTAAGCACTGGAACATTTCAAAATACAATATTTACAAGAAAGGAAAGAGTGAAAAAGCAGTTTTGTTTTAAAGTTGATGGCACCAAGATATAACTTAATTCATACTCAGGCATCATCTCAAAGGTAAATACTTACAGATTTGACCAGTGAGAACAAAATTCATGTTGACAGCAGTTGAACTGAGCGGTTTAGAGGTAGGAAGATAAAGTTCTTCTGAGACTGTGCCTTTCAGAATTTTCTTTAAACCAGGAAAAGTCATTGTCAGGAGAAGAGTGTAAGTAGAGAAGTTTGAATTACGCCAAAACTGGGGAGATTGTTATTCTCCCATTGCTGCCTGAACTTGACGTTTAGTGAGCATGCTCCGAAGCATATTACTTTAATTAGTCTGAGCATGCTTATTAATTACCCAGAACAGGGTAATCTGGCCTCTGTGGGCAGCACGTTTCCTCACTGGTGTTAGATTGCAAAAGTCTCAGTGTTTTATTTGCTGTGTTTGATGTATTGCATGTCTCTGCTTCGTGATGCCAAACAAGAGCGTAAGGTAAAACATTTGCCCTGTGGCTTTGGTTGATTTATGTAAGTGGTCTTCATCATGACAAGAGTTTGCTGTCTTTTCATGGCCAAACCCCAGAGCTTTTGTGCCTTTTTATAATCCTGTTGATTTATGTCTATATTCAGTTTTCCCTTGCCATACAGATCTTTTAAGCTTTTACTCAGTCCCTAAGAAAAACACATTATAGGTCTGATTTCCAGTTGTCTTAAAGTTGCTTTATACCATATAAACAGTAAAGGAATCATAAAGAGAGTGCAAATGCAGATCAAAAGTAGATTGTATTTTGTAAGAAAACTGTGCTTCTCAGATCCTGGAAATAGGGATTTCTTAGGTGCAGAGCATGCTAGGCTCTTAGGTGTACTCAAATCTCTTTGTTCAGCATCTTCCTATATTTTCAGAAGGACAACCAGATTATACAGATTGACTCTGTGGAATTAAAACTTGACCCAGGAAACTGTATTAAATCAGACGACTAGTGTGGGACTAGCACATCTGTGCCTTACAGGTCCCAGGCTGCATGCTGATTGCCAGGACAGTTCAACAGTGTGAAACTCTTTCCTTTTTGTCCTTTACAGTGCACTTTCAGTAGCAGGTTGAAGGCTGGATGAATTGCTATGATACTGGCAGCCCATATATTTATTTCTTTTATTTTAAATGTGGATGTATAAAATAAAATGGAGCTCTATTCCACTTCAGAGGTAGAGTTACTTCTTTTCTATTATTCATAGCTTCCTTGTTTATATATTTAGGGATCACTATCAATTTTTTTTGGCACAGTGGCTCGCTGGGAGCTGCTGTTCAGTTGCTTGTTCAGTTGCTTGTTCAGTATGGCTAGCTAGTGATTTTTTCAGAACTATTCCTTCTAGATTATGGTTCCCTATTGTGTAGGTATAACCTGCACTCCAAGTTGTTTGTGTAATGTTCGAGTGTATTAAAGCACAACTTTGGACCCAGCTTATCCAGAAAGTTGCCACATTCTCTGTGATTGCTAGAGCTGTTCATAATGAGAATGGGGAAATCTGTCATCCTCAGGTCTTACCAATTATAATTTTATATTTGCAGGGAGGCAACTGCTGAGTGTTGAATAGCATTAGGCCTGATATTGATGCTATAGAACTGTATGAAAGACGTCCAACCAATGGTGATTCCTTGTCAGCAAACAGATCTTTGAGATCTGTCATTTAGCCAGTTCTTAATCCCCCATATCTTTTACTAATATTGTGTAAAGCTAACCTTACATTTCAGGGCTGTGCTGCTGTTGCACTGTCATTTGACACTGCTGTTCTGCCTCATGCATCAAACAAAGCATAAAGCAGAGAAGAACAGAAATAGAAGTGAACAGAACAAGACTGGCTATCATCATTCATGCAGTAGGACTTCACAGATCATATTTAGAAAGGACAAAATCCACAACAATGACAGGCCACAGCTCGTCAGAAGTGATCACATCAAAACAGCAGATCTTAATAAAAGCCCAGCATACTGGAGAGATGTGTTTATTAGGAAGTGACTTGATCATTGTACATGCTCACCCATACACGAGAAGGGGTATATCTGCAGGGCAGGCCATTGCCCAGGGCTGCAAAATATTCAGTAGATCTATGGGTAAATGTGACTTTGTAGGGCTGGAGATTTGCTGGTTTGCCTAGGGCAGCAGAACCCGTAGAGCTGGCCTTGAACACAGTGCACTAGTCACTCTCCTGTGACCTACTAGCAAATAAAGACATTAAAGTGTAATAACCAGGGAGGGCAGTTTGCTTGCTGAGACTGGTAAGGTCTGCCACTCTGCTGCAGTAAGTTGTAAGTGTACTGAAGAAGTAAGAGCCCAGAGTCGTAGGCACTGCCTGTATTTACCACCTGGAAACCTGTGAAACCTGGAAGGGGGAGGACTGATGTAGCCAAATACTAAGACAAAGAGGAAGAATCCTTCTGAGTAGCAGCAGTCCACTTGGGTGTCTTCCTGGACTGATGTCAAAACATGGACCAAGATGTTTTGTGGTTAAAGAAGTTTCAAGAGGCTTCCAATTTTGTTCTTATTTTGGCAGTTTGATTATTACTTTCCTGTGCAGAAAACTTTACCATCTCATTTTGCACAAATACACATTCTGGGATCTGTATTCATACTAATAAAAGCAGGCCCAGTGAAGGCATGAGTCCAGTTACAGAACTTGGCTATGATTTTTAATAGTAAGTTCACTAGGGATTTTGTTTTTTCCTTGCAGAGTCTTTTATTGGACATTTCAAGGAGGACGAATAATTTTGACACCTTAGGTAAGATAACGGTATATAATGTTCCAAGTTCGACACCAAATTCCCCAGATGCCTAAAATCACACATAGGCTTGAAAAATCAGTCCATTTCCCTGCTGTTTTATGAGTGCTTATACTGCTGGGAATATTCTGAAGTGTCTTCCTAATTAAAACTGAACGAATGCTACTCAATAGATGCTTTGCATTTGTTTTTCTTTGTTTATTTTTTTACAGGGTTTGTTTGTTTAATCCTAATTTGCTGAATTCACTCTGCACTTCTCAGCAATTTTTATGATTGAGTCCAAACAATCTAACACACTACTGACACCAAGAGAGATTGTATGGGGTTTGGGTATTTTTGAGGAATTTGTTCTTGAACATGCAGCATGATCAATTGACATAGCATAATCTGGAGCAAGAGCCTGGAGCCAGCTGCAGCCACTGGTACCAGCTTTTGGGTCCCACAGGTGCCTTCAGTAACACAGAGCAAACAGTAAAATACAGTGTCAGAGAGTTTTTTCTCCATTTCTAGTTTCTTTTCTCTCCAACTTCTGTTTTGTGTGCTTGGCTTTGTGTGGGATGGCAACGGTCAGTGGCAATGCATTCCCCAGCAGAGAAGCAGATTGTAAAGATAAGTTTATGATGAAAGATGGTTCAGTGGTCAGAATGCTGAGGCAGTCAGTGGGAACCCAGCTCTATTCTGCCGTGTGCTGCTTCCTGGTTGGTATTCAGCACCTTAGGATCTTTGTTGCCCTGGGGCAGTGTGTCTCACCTGGTTACAGTGAGCTGATGAGGCAATGTTCCAGGCTAGCTTTATATCAGCTAAATGAGTGAAATCCAGGCCTCTCTTGGTTCCTCATTGTTAAAAATGGACATAATACTACTGTGCTACTTTAGTAGGATGCTGTAAAATCAATATTTTAAAGATCATGAGGTTTGACTAGGATAGTGAACAATAAATTCCCGAGTTAGGCTTCTAAAGATAAAATACTTCAAAGTAATAGGAAAACACATCTCCAGCCTGTATTGGGGGGAAGAGAGGGAAAGGGGAGCCAACCTGTAAACAGCAACAGCTCAGGTAACTCTTGCAGTCCTTTAATTAACACTCCCAGTCGCTGAAGCCTGGCTTTGGTGGCTGTTTAACTAGTCCAGAGGGATTCACGTTCTAGCTGTTGAACCGTAGGGATTTGCTTGAAAAGCAGTCACAATAGCAGAAAAAACCCCATCTGAGAGCAGTAGCATGGTGTCATATCGGTAGCACCAGGGGTTCAGCTATACACTGGGTCAATTGACAAGCTTGCTAATGTAGAGTGCAAGATTAATTGGCTTTGGTCAGCCTTTGCTTCACTATCTGAATATCATTATAAGGAATGTAAATGATTATGCAATGCAGAGAAATGCCACAATAGTCTCAGTGTCTCCTTTTATACTTGTCTCTTTTTAAACAGGGCTTTATCTAAATGCAAATGTGATTTCAGCCTTCTGATTAGGACATTATACTGTCATCCATTCCAGAAAAGCACAATTAGTGGATTATTTTATTTCTGACTCAACAGTTCTTGGTTTCGATAGTTTGTTTGTTGTGCTATGCATGATATTTAAGTTATCAGAAGGAGATTTACATTATTAGTCAGGATTATAGCCAGATTTTGTGAGGTCAGGGTTTTTTTTCTTGGCAGATAAAAATGGTAACATTTGTGGGATTCGAGAAGGGATGTTTTTAGAACAAAAGGCAATAGTGCAGATTCTACTATGCTTCCTTGTCCTTTTTGTGCCAAGTAAGGGGCAAACTACAGTAGTAACTATGCAAATTCTTCAATGTTGTGGGGTGTACAAGTGCAGAGTTTAGCTTTACCTGTTTTCAGGATCTATTCCCTGTTGAGTTGTATTCACACAGTGCCCCAGTATCTTAATAGTGGGTCAGGTCATAAGATTATTTTTCATTAAATTGCCATTTTACCAAAATAGCCATCAAGTTTTCTATGTGCTGTGGTGGATTTCCAGTGAAATTTTCAATGGAAATGGTATTGCAATCACTGTGAAGTTACACACTCAGAAAAATACAGACCTTTGGTGATAAACTTCCCTGTGAAGCTTATCCATGTCACAAAATTTGTAGCACTTTTGCAGTTTATGAATCTGTCAAAACTCAGGATTTTTTTTTTTTTCTATAAGTAAAGGAGCCTCATACACTACATGTTTTATAACTAGACCTGGTAAAAACTTCAATCTTCAAATCTATTGAAGTCCAGTATTTGGGGGAAGGTGAAGGATATTTTTTTCCAAAATTCATCAGTGTAAATGTATTTGTCACAGGATTTGAATTCATCAGTTCATCATTTTCCAATGAAAAATTACCACAGGGGAAAAATCCTCATTATCTATAGTGAAACAACATTTTCAATTCCATTGATCAGTTTAATCCTTCCATATTCATATGTTTACGTGACTCTGGCTTCTTGCTGTCTCCCAGAGCTTATTTTCTTTATGCTGAAGTAAGCTGTCCTATACATTCCCAACACATGAAGGATCTTTGCTTTTGTGACAGGAAATCCATTGTACCACTTAGGTTTAATTAGAGCACAATGAGATATGATGAGTTTACACATCAAAGTCTAGAAACAACTCAACAAATTGGCTCTAGTCCCGTAGTATATTTTTCGGATCTGTACTGAATTGGGATGTTTCACTGTATTTAGTGGGAATGTGTGAAATACAGGGTCAGGTTCCTGGGGTCAGTGGAAGTAAACCAATTCTTACCAGCTAAGGATCTAGCCCCAGAAACCTGTATGCAAAGCTAAATCTAGGTTCAGATCAACTTGAATCCAGCTGCGTAGTCTAGATTTTGATACTGGATGATTAAAAACCCATTTTCTCATAAGTTCTGTGTAAGTAGCAAGTTGAATCCTATGTCCAGTTCTAGTTTGCACTGAGTTCAGACAGTTGAATATAAACCCAGGACATATTTTAATCTGCCACATAATGGAGAAGGGGTTAGTTTACATCTAGGTACACAGATGGTCTTTATATTCTGCTCCCTTGTAGCACTACTTACGTGTTGGTAAGTCACACTCACTGATGACAGTGCCCTATCTCTTACACAAATCAAGCTCTCATATCTTTAACATGTATGTGGATTTATCATTTCAAGAAGTAAGACTTATTACTGTAGCAATTTTTCCCTTCCATAAATGCTTTTCATTAAGGGAATTCTGATGTTTCACAGATCCTTTTTTTTATTTCAGGAAACCCTAATTTGAGATACAGTATCCAGATCCCAACTTTGTCTATACTCAGGGTTATGGAATGGGTCCATTTTTGTCTTACTGTTATTAATCTACATTTGGGCATATTACATGAAAGATTAAAAAAAAGAGAAAAGGAAAACATTGGTTGGAGCCAAAGATATCCCATGTGAAGCTGGTCTAGTAATTTAATTTCTGTGCCTTGTTTCCTAGTGATGAGAGCAGTCTACAGTGTGAGTGGTGTTCTTGTGTCTGTATCTGACACTGGGAGACACTCAGGGTATGGTAATAGAAGATTCAGAAATACGTAAAGCTAGATAGATGTCTGTGGGTGAAACACCTCTAAATAGTAGTCCTTACGCTTCAGTAGTTTTTTGTAACAGACTCTAGAAGGTGCTTTATTCTTAAAAGTGACTTGATTAATCAGGCTTTAAATGACTGACAGATAAAGCTCCTTGACAATCACCCGGCTATTAACATGGCATTTTTTTTTATTTCTGGCATGCCTTATAGCAGTCTTCTCTTTTTCATATTCCTTCTTTTTATAACTGTATCTGTTCAGGCAGTTCATTTTCAAATGTATTTGCAAAACAGAGAAATATAGTTAGATACACAGAGGGCGTCCAAACTTTAGTGAAAAGGTCTTGCTTCCCCTATGTAATTTCATATGGTGAAAAATTCAAGGCTACCAAAGAAGGGCAATGCATATATTACTGTATTCTTTAACTTATGAATGAAAAGTAAATCTAGATTTTTGAGGAAAAAATAAAATCCTCACATGCCCGTCCCTTTGAAAAGAACATTGACATCTTCTATAATGTGTCAGGAATATTACTCAGTCTACATATATTGTTCTCAGTTTTGTCACCTGCAGTGCTAAATGCCAGGGGAAAACTGAAGGAGGGGGTTTAGCATGATGCTTGTATAGTAAATGTTTCTTGCAACATATGGTATAAATTGACAACCCCAAAATAATTTACAAAGGTAGTGCTAGTTGAACACTGAAAGTTCAATTTAAACAGTGGGGTAAACAGAGTGACACTAAATATCCTAAGCAGGAAAGGAAAGCAAAAGCAAAGGCATTTGCATAACAAAACCAGATGATTTTTCATAGTTTCATTTGTGTTCTCACTGATGCACAGTAGGTGTGTACAGAGATATCGCCGAGCTGAGTGCTAAGAAGAAACTGAAGGAGGGTACCGGAATCTATTTTGAAAGTCCATTTCTGTTAGATGCGTTCCTAAAAAGAAAACTTCAGGAAAGAATTTGAGGAGGGAAGTTGGTGCTGAGAGTGATATCAAGGATAGAGTGCAAGGTGTACGCTGGAAATATGCCCTCAGCTCTCTGCTGGAAGAGAAGCCCTAGGATCAGACCACCTTGTTATAGTTTGAAAAATAACATCTATGGATACCTGCTTGAGGTATCTGTTGAGACCTTCAGCACTTGGAAAGGAGGCCAGATGGGGTGTTATACCATGAGGTGTTCAGTATGCCAGAAAAAACCCGAGAGCCACTCTGAAACAAACTCTTATATAGTATCAAATATAATATTATTGCCCCATCATTGGAAGTGTTCAAAGCCCCATCTGACCTGATGAGCAGCCTGGTGTACTGAAAGGTGTCCCTGCCCACGGCGAGGGGGCTGGGGACTAGATGATCTTTAAAGGTCCCTTTCAACCCAAACCATTCTATGATTATATTTCTTGTTTTCAAAATAGGACACAGACTTGGAATCATGCTACCTAATTTAGGCTTGTAACTGCAGGATCTATATTATAATTCATGTTTTGCTACTCCTTCTGTCTTCAATGGAGAGAAGGGCAGGGTGTCAGTCTGTCTATGTACTATTTGAGTCACACTTTGGAGATGCTTATCTTTCTACTGGTTGGAGTGGGAATGCAGGGATCTCTCTGCTGACTATGGAGAGTATAATCACCTTCTGTACTCAAATGCCAAAGTGAAATGAATCCAAAACAAAAAATGCATGGAGCTGATGCCCAGCATAGGTTTCATTGCATAGAGAGTGATATTTTACAGAAAAAACATTGGAAGAAAAGAAGCGATGAATATTTTGAAGCTTGGAGGTATTCCGATCTTTTTTTTTTTTTAAGACAAACTTTTTAAGTAAAGCCATAATTAGCACACCTTGTGAGCTTGGAAAGTGAGCTAGCAATTGGACTAGTCAGACTGAAGCCATTTTGAAACTCAGCTCTTGGTCTATATTTCTAATTTTTCGTAACATCTTTCTGCCCTACATATGTGTTTTTTGGACAGTATCCAATTTCTGTAGTGTGTGAGGCCAAATGGCTTTTATTAAACAAATGTGAAAAAACAGAACTGGATTGCAGCAGCAGTATAGAGCTAACTTATTGCCCTCATGATGGAAGAATGGTTTTCTAATTGTTTGTGAAAGCTAATGGAAACCATATTTTGGCTGTGAATAATTCTCAGGAGGGATTGTTGTGGAGTCTTACCTCATCTCTTGTACTTTCCTGATAGAACGTATCAAGTATTCAAAAGCAGACACACCCCATGAAGCTCAAAGTGTAGAAAACCTCTGGTCAGCTCTAGATGCTAGAGAAAGATGGGACTCCGTAGGTGAGTGAGCCTTACTGGCACATCACTGACCTGCCAGAGGCTGGTGCAGATTTACCTTTATTATGGCGTGTCACTTGTGGGAAGACTGGGTAACTGGCAGAGGTTAAAGGTTCTGATGATAGAATCCAGGAGCTGACTAATTAAGATTTTCCTGTCCCCAAGACCTCATGATATCACACTCAACCAAGTTGAGAGAAGGGGGTATTCAAAAACTTACTCCTGTTAACATCGTCTACTTCTGAGTTACCTGTAACTAAAAACTGGAAATACTTTTTGCGTTTTGTCCATAGAATCTTTTTTAAATGTTATACCACTCCAGTCCCTAAAATCTTTATTCCAGACTTTAGTAATAACAACCAAATGAAAGTTGCTATCTTAAATGTTGAATTTGATTCACCTTTTCTCTTTCGTGATGCGTATTAGTCCTTCTTGCACTGGATGGGGCACTGCCAGCACAATACAAAACAACAGGTTTTCCAATTGCCATATTTGACATTGGCATCACCCATTTATCCATTTGGGAATGGCCTTCGTCTACTTTTCTTTCCAGGATCCCCTGAACAGGTAGTCACTAGCCTATGATTAAGGGAGGGACCAAGCTGAATCTTGGGCAGGTAGTTGATAAGCTGTGTTGTATTAGCTCCAATGGAAAGTCATCAGAGCCATTCTACTGGTGTTTACAGAGCGTGGGGTGCAATAGCCTTTTTTTAGGTGGTTTGGATTTTTTTATAATGTTAGTAACAGAATCAGGGCAAACAGCACCATACATCCATCCTTCAGTTCGTTGCAATCACAAAAAATGTGGCATACTGGTAATGACTGTCAAATTGGGATTTTTGTGACTTTAACTCCCTAGTGAAAAATACTCATAAGTGTGATCAGCATTTGTCTTGTAGTACCTGTTTGTTGTAAAAATATATATACACACTCTGGGGAAAGGGCTCTGCTTGTTGAAAGTGTTTGCTAAAGTGATTTTGAGTAAAGTCACAAACGAAGCAATTTCAGATGTAAGGAAAGATGTCAGTATCAGCAGGAAAGGGATCCTGACACAGGTTCTTCAAAGGTTTATGCCTATTAAGCTTATTGTGTATCTTAGAAATAGTTTTAATAATTTACATCATTGGCTCATGAGATAGTAACCCTGGTAAGTACTTCCTTAAGACAATCATCTTTTTCCCTTGGAGGATAGAAAAGCTGTTTCTGAAGTGTCATCAGAGCCTTTCTTAGGGGCTTCCATAACACCCATCAGCTGTGACTCACTATGTTTCTGCAGGTCCTTAAAAAAATAGTGTTATAAAACTTGCCCGTTGCGATCAGCTAAGCAGGTGGTGAGCTATATTGTGTGCTCTAATAGTCTACACAAAACCGGGCTCATATTACTGTCACCTCCTCCCCATTCCCATCCCACCTGTTTGGCTCATCTGCCTTGTTCTGCCTCATGACTTGTCATTAGTCTGCCTTGTAAATTCTTTGTGGCAGAAACTTTTTCATTAGATACGTATGTATATATAGTAACCTACCATGATAGAGCCCGAATCCTTGACTGAAGTGTATGGGCACAATTCCAATACAGTTAATAACGTTAATATTGCAAGGCTCTTTCTCACACATTTCCTGTAGACAAGAAGCTCTGCCACAGGAGCAGCTCCTTCTTGTTTTACAAGATGTTACTTTTGACAAAATATAGTTAGATTTGAAAAAATCAATATAGCATAGATTTCGCCCAGTCTTTCAGTAGTGAACAGGAAAAAAACAATAGGGAGGTGCTCAGATGTGACTTTGTACTGTGGTTTTGTGCCATGAGTAAAGCAATGTTGTAGAGGCCCATCCCCCAAGAATAAGACACATTCTGCATTTTTGTCTTAGAATTCTTTAATTTTCTTCACATAAAAGAATACTTTTTGTGTCTAAAACATTAAAAATTTTCCATGACCTCTACTACTGTCAATCAGCATATCTCATTACTGATGTAGAGGTATACTAATTTATATCTACTTAGTCATAGACTGAGATGGAATTTTGTTTTACTGAAAATATAGATTACAATTGCACATATCCCATGGGCATTTTTTAGGTACATAGTGAGGAGATTTTCCCTACTGCAAGAAGAGCTAGTTCATGCAAATATGCTGCCCAGGCCTGCGATAGCTGTGGTGAACTATTCTGAAATAAATTTAGCCAAAGGACTTAAATTACTTAAGAAAAAGGAAAAAAGTATTTCAAATGATGAGTAAGTATCATAACGGGTGCTAAAATAATGCCATACACCTACTTCATTATTCAGTTACTTATTTATTATCTTTATTCTTAAGAGTAATGACATAAAAGTGCTTTTTTCCAAATGTTAATTTAGCACTCTGCAGATGGTAACCATCTGTTAAATGACAAGTCATTTACAGTATTTGATTAGCACTTTATATAGCTTGGATGGACTTATTGTTACAATATGTAAGTGTAGTTATGGATGTAAAACTTGTTAGATTTGTTCTTTTTCTGTTTCTGTTACCAAAAAAATTGAATATTCCAAACCTGTCAATATTTTTGCCTGTCTTCTCCTATATTTATACACCTTAATTCATGTTAAAGCCTGACATTCATAGGCCAGTTCACAAGATATTCTTGAGAGAATGTCAATACTAGGAAATACTGTTAAATTCCGACACCATTTGTAGTCACTGTGAGTGCTCTCATTACACAATGTCGCCATGTGGATGGACCCTTGTGGGTGCTCAAGGGAAGCACTGGAAGTTTGAATGAAGCTAAGAATCATGGCTTAGCAAGTAGAAAACTCCCTCGGGGCTGTGATACGGCTTTGTATACTTACAGTAGCTTACACTGTGGGTGTTCTTTTAAACTAGGAAAAAATGTAATATTGCAATACACATGAACATTACCAACATAAAGTGATCTTGCATGAACTGCACGCTTTTGTATTTCAATACCTTGATCAATGACAGCTAACCCCCGTCTGTCTGTAAACTAAGCAAGTTCTGATTCGTTCCATATTGTGTTTTCTTCTAAAGTTTCTTCAAGTTATGCTGCTAAACCTTAATTTTCTGGCCCTGTTTTCATAGTTGCAAAACTACTTTACACTTCTATTTCTGTGTTTTTAATGAAAATCATTAGGTATTTTGATCTGTGGTTTTTATTTTCAACAGCTAAATAGCTTGATGATGGCCCCACTACCAAATGCTGAGTTAGTTCAGAACTCTTTGCAGTTATATCGTTACCTGCTTCGATGCTGTAAGCAACTTCCCGAAGAGAATATTCGTCAGCATTACAGACATGCAGTCAGGCAGGTGAGAAACAGACTTCTTTTCTGTTGGTGGAATTCAGTGTTGTGGGGTGGTTTTGGTTTTGTCTGTTTTCCTCTTCCTCCAGTTTGAACTGACTTTTTATAATTCCTGGGATTTAAAATTATTCTTCTGCAAGCTTAAAACATTAGTGGATTTGCAGGATTATACTGGGAGTATGTGAGGGAGCATTTTTTGTTTGCTTTAAATCTGAAACCTTCTATTTCCCTTGGCCTTAATCTCTAATTCTTGTGTTAGTCAAGTGAATGAGCAATCATTCCTTACTCACCTAAACATGTTTTTTTATGGTGAAACTTACTGGTTCCTTGTCAGACATTTTTTTAATATCTATATCCCACCCCAAGCCCCTCACCTGGGTAGATCTCATCTAACTGTTCATATGGAAGTAATTTCATTACTTTGATCATAACTGTCATCATGTGCCTTTCTAGTTTTAATATATCAGACAATTTCAGTTGCTATTCTGAATTGAAGTTTTCTGGAGTGTTTTGCTGATGATGTATGAAAGGAGTAAAATACTTAATATGAAATTACATTTGATGGGACTTGCTAGGGAAATAGCACGGCCAGGTACTACAATGTGTATTTTTACCTTTTCAGATCAACAGGTTGCTTTCATCAAATATTTTTCTTTGAAATTTAATTGATCCTTATTTTGACAGCTATAGCGTTAAGTTGGCTAGTCAGTGTAACGCTATGAATGTTGCAGAGTTTCAAAGTTCATGCTGATGAAGATGATCCTGAGCGAATCCAGCAGATCATTAAGAGAGCCATTGAAGATGCTGACTGGGTCATGAATAAAGTAAGTGCATCAGATTGTCTTGAGTTTGTTCTCTCTCAGTTCAGATCAAAGAAAACATCAGAAAACAAGTTAGGAACAGCAGTCTGGTCCCCGCTGTCCTGGGCAGTGAAGTGTCTGGGTGAAAGGAAGTACCTAGCCACTAGGGATTTATGATTGTGATAGTTCTTGTTTAAAAATTTTCCTTTCTTGATACCAAATCAAGTGTATTTTTTAGAACCAATGATGCTTTAAGTTGGTCTCTGTATGAATCGTTGTTTCCGTGGAGGATTCTATTAAATATCAGCAGTGGTGGCTTGTATAACTTTATAATTAAAAAAACCCACCACCAAATCCCAAAACTAGGGTGTTTTGCAAGCCCCAGTTTGCCGATGTGCATCAGTTGTTTTCCTAACAGGAATCTATCTTCTCTTAGTCAGTTTACATAAACTGCTGGAATGATTTACTTTCTTTTCTCAGATCTTGCCTGTTGCTGTGCAGATCAGGATTGGACACAACATAGTGGCAAAATTTGTGTAATTGATTTACTTGTGCCATAGTTAGTACCTAGTGGATGTGCCTCTTTACTATCACAGCACCAAAAGATACCACTCAGACTGGTTTCTTAGATAAAGGAACGAAGATTGGTTATTGTTAGACATCTGAGTGTCACCTCTACTTCCTTAGATTTACATCTTGGTGGGGAGCATGATATGTTAACGTGGATTTCTCAGTATATTGAAACAAGTCAAAAGTTCAGCTTGCTCTAAATATCTGTGATTTAATTTACCAAATGACTGTTAAGTCTTTCTCTGTGCCAGTCCATGAAATCCAAATGAGAATTGTTACAGGAGCAAGCACAGATTAGTCATAGATTATAAAATTATAGCAGTAGCCAAATCCCAGCAGTTACAGCCTAGTAAATAACTGTCTGTGCCTGCATCTGATTTTTTTTCCTCCCTACTATTATGAAAAGCCTCATTCTGATTCTGCTACAGAGATTCTAGTCTGCATCATTGGAAAACTGGTAATTGAACTGTGGGAGAGGAGGATCAGATTCACAGTGCCTGCCAAGAAGCATTATTTTATATTGTAGCGAGAAAGCCTATCAAGTTTCAATCTAACTTTGAAGAAAATGAGATAATTTTATGTAGATCATGAAGAGGTTTGTAAATCATTGTCAGTATGAACTGTTATTTTTAGTTATGAGCTCTTTCCCACAAATAATTGTTTGTTTATTTTTTCTGTTTTTTTAGTATAAAACGCAGAAGTAGAAGAGGAATGATGAAGACAAGAATGGCATTGGTAAACATCCTTAGAGGACATGCAGTCAAGCCCAATACTATATTATAGTTATTGCCTGGTGTTTTCTTTTAGATAATACAAATACAGTAATTTATATCTCATTGGGATGTCACGAGGCTAAAATAATATTTCTGAAGCTTTTTGAGTCTCTAGATTAAAAGGCACCGTCTAGGTTCAGAGTATTAGCTTGCATAATCACTAACTTTAGCTTAAAGGCCAAACTTGTCTAAGTAACACATAGCTTCTCAGGAAAACTTAGAATAAAAATACAATGGAGTACAAATCATTAACAAATAACAAATAGTGCCCAGTCTCTCACTCATATCTGAATTACAGTGTCTCATCTGAAAGAATTTAACTAGTATCTGAGCATAAAGATCTCTACTGGGAGCCTGCAAACCTGAGAGATTAACATTGAGGATCAGAGCAAATTTCTCTTTACTTAATTGTGGACTAGATTGTACTGTTAGGCCTAGATCCACTGTAGCACAGCAGTGTTTGATACACTTATGGTGCAGATTATTTGGAGGCAAAGTTCTTCTGCATAAGTAACGGTGGATTTAAGCTTGTGTTTGTGTGATGTTCTGAATTATGGTAGTCAGTCTGTTATGTCGGAGCACCTTCTCTAGAACCACAGATACGCTTTCAGAGTGAAGCAGAGGTATGACCAGAGCACAGGCCTGGCTTTTATCTAGCAGCAGACACAAAAGCATAGGCTACTGAGTGGAGAGCATACCCATGAGAACTTTAAGCCCATCTGAAGCTTGAACCACACTATTTTCCACTTGCCTGTCTGTGCTACGGGCATATTTTCCTTCTACTCTGTAGGTTTGCACTTGAACTAACGGTTGCCTTTTCTTATTTAAAGATAGGTGCCTGTCATGTAATCTCAAAACTCTCAAGGACAGGGACACCATTCAGATGGGGTATGTGCACGGAATGGTATAATCACTGAAATGTGCAATGTTGTACAGATATAAAGGCCTTCACAACTTCTTGCAACATATAATAAATGACCTTTAAAAATGGGAGTCCACGTCCTTTTTTAAAAGACTGTTTTTTCAATGCCCTAATAGATTTTTATCAGGGAAGACTCAGTAGAAATACTATCTATCTTAAATAAAATTAATTTAGGGGTAAAAGGGTTTCCTTTTGAAACATGACCTTTGCTTTTAGCTGTGCTTGGAACTTTATGCCTCCAGATGGCAGTGCATGCTGCAATGCGTCTCCCAAGTCCCCAGTCTCTGGGGGTTGGGTTTGTTTTTACTGTTTCCAAGTTGTTGAGCTTCCTCATCTGCCAAAACAGAATTCAAGTGCTAGGGCAGATCTCTTCTAGGCTCCAGATTTTTTTTTTTTTTTCGTTTAGCCGTGAAAGAAACAAAAAGAAAATCCCAGCTCAAAATACTTGAGAAGAATTTGACAAGTGCAATAAAAGAAATGGGGGCCACAAGTGAACATTTATACCATGAAGTATTGTATTAAAAAATTTCCTTAGTCTCTGCTAACCCTAAACCTTCCTCTTCAAGAATTCCTGCCCTCTGTTTGTTATTCTTTCCTCTGCCATCACCACTATTGTTCCTCTCTCTAGTCCTACATCTTTAATATCACCTTATACACCCTCAACTTCTGTTCATGTTCTACATATTCCTTAATTCTGTTCCCTCTCATCTCTCTACACTTCTTTCTCTTCCTCCAATCCTATTCTGACAGATGCGTCAGAAAATGCTGGGGCCATCATTCTGCTGGATTTCAGGCAATAGTGTTTCTCAACAAAGTAGGTGTAAGTTTTGTTTCCTCGTGTGAGGAGAGCCACTTGTCTTTCTACTTAAATGCTTTTTTTTTTTATATGGAACCATTCTGGTTTAAACTTTCAAAATAATTTGATGCAACGTAGAGCACAGAAAACTTCATCCTTGACAGTTGACAAGGAATATCCAGTATTAAACTGAACACTGCAATGAAAAAGCTGAAGCAGATTTTGTAGTAGATATCTGAATGTGCTACTTGTAATCAAGAACAGCAAGCAGAGGACCCAGTGGGGATGCACTGAACTTTATATCAGCGCAATAGTGAAAACTGTAAGACTCAATAGGATTAACAGTGTATGGAAACATACTAGTTTCCTGAGCTTTAAATGTAGCGTGCTCAACAGTCCTCTATTGCTTTAATTGTCTGACTTTCTGTAGTGTGAGACAAAATATTTTGTTCAATTACTAAATAGGATAATTGTGTGTGTCTCAATCATTCTTACACACCTGTTATTTAATTTATGAATAGTTCAAGAGAGAAAGCACCAAGGAGTTAGAAGGTGCAACCGTGGCATATCTGCAGCTCCAAATGTCTGAGGTGCCAGCTGAGATATGGGAACATCAGACCAAAGGTACGAGAGATGTAACTGATATGGTAGGGCCAGGTTCTGTGGCTTTTAGATTTTAGAAACTGACTGAGTGTGCGGTTCTTAGTAGGCTGCGGAGGGGGAACATGGCTGCTGAGGCAGGAGACATCATGACTAAATATTTTGACAATGGTTATTCAATTGTAGGGCATGACGATATGTCAGGTTTGGGGTGTTTTTTTTTTTCATACAAACATCTGATTTTCAGAATAACAAACCTTTTAATAGAATGGGAATATAATGTAAAGGTAACTTTTACTCTGTTATGGAACAAATAATTTTCTTGGTGGTGGGGAGACCTGATGCAAAATCTATTCCTTGTAACAGTGAAAGTAGCCCCCGCGTCTGCCAGACGTGTTTCTCTAATTGGGCCAAAGAGTCATTCAGCTGCATAGCTGTGGCTTTTATGTTTTCAAGATGTTAGACAAACTCTGTTCTTCAGCATGATTTGAGACCGAAGCTGTTATGTTAGCCTACACAGAGATGAGAACCTGAACTCTGAAAAGGGGTTTGTGTGGAGCTTCAATATTTTTGACCAAAACTATTATCCAGAAAACTTCTACTCAGAAGTCATTTAATCCTGGAGTTGCCTAATTTACCACTCACTAACCTGTTTGACCTGAGATGTTACATAGTAAATTGAGTCCCCTTCATTAGTATCCAGGGTCATCTTTGAGCAACTCTTTGCCTCTCAGCCTTGCTGAGACTGAAGAACTGTTCTCTGTTCCACCAATGTCTTCATTTGGTGTTAATGCCACTGTGCTAATGATTAGCTGCCAGTGGCTCTAACAGGGCCCGCTGCAGGAAAGACAGTGGCAGGCATAACTTTGTTCCTGCTGCTTACAGGGGAACACTTAATTGGTCAGCCTCCTCCATGGTTCTCTGGTGACAGCTGCAAAGAAAAGATCAACACCAAACAGATTAGTGCATCTGCTTCCATATTCAATCATTTAGAATCTAAAAATAAACATTTTGGGTGCAAATTAAGTAATGGGATAAAAGAGATTGTGTTGTATACTGTAATTACTGTTACAGAGTTTAAAAGTTAAAAGCTCACAGTGCTCACAAAAATGTTGAGGCAACAAAGGATAATGTCAGTAAAAAGGGACAAGCCTATTCAGAATTTAGTTTCTTTTTATTGAAATGAGGAACTAATTTCTGTACTTGTATATCATGCCAGTTCTGGTAAGTAGTGGACTGATAGGTATATGCAATAATTGAATGATTAAGGGCTCATTAGATGGTCACGCCAAAGCCCTGGTTTTTGTTCACCCTACTGGTAAGTGCTCCTGTAGTAAGAATTCGGTTACAAGGATCATGTTTGGTGTGAAATAGTATCACCTGGCCATTCATTAGCCTGAAGGATTTCATTGTGTTTACACAAATGTAATAACTACATTCTGGGAACAACAGTTTTGCAAGTGGTTACTGTAAGGCCTTGAGTCAATAACTTCTAAATACTCCCTTACAGCTAGGAGCTGAGCGGAATTAGCCGTTCAAAGGTTGTGTACAGAGTACAGACAACTCTCAGTTAAGCTAGAGAGAGCGTTTCATAGAAGGCTTATTGCACAAGACAAACATTAGAACAAGGAAAAGACAGTTGGGAGACCTGTTTAATAAATTGGCATTATGCTTTTAACTCTTGAAGAGAGGAGAAACAGATCATTTAGCTCATATTTTAGCTAAGGAAAATTAGAAAAAAGTTCTTAGTCATTAGCACCAAGTTATAGACTTTGTCTAAGGACAGAACCAAATTTGCTGCTATACTTTCTTTTCTATAGATATGTAGCACTGGGAACCTAAAGATGAAATGGCGTGGAAATAATCTGTACACTACAAATACAGAAGTAGTGTGCCTAGAAAGACTGGAACAATGGCACTGGGTTAGTCAATGTGTTTTGTTTGGTGTGCAGGTTCTTGCTCTTAAGCCCACAGACAAATTTTAAAGTGTCCGCTTGTGTTGTTATCAGCCCTGGAGCTTCATGTAGAAGCTTTCTGTTTAGTGAAAACCTTTCCTTTTTTTTTTTTTTTTTTTTTTATATATATATATATTTGTTCATATTGGGTTTTGGTGTGGGAAGGATTGTAAATGTGTGGTTTATCTAAAATACAGGATAGTATTCAGCACTTCACATGGTCAGAGATGTATATGTTTCTGATCACATTCTTATGTCAGAAGTGTTACTGATTTCAATTCAGTCCTGCCACTGAAAGTCATTTGAGCCCTGTGGGTACTGAATAAAATACTTCCAAGCCAGGCTTTGCTTAGCACCATTTGTCAATAATTGAATAGTCTTTAGCTTTAGCATTTTGTAAACTCTTTCATTTGGTTCGTTATGTCACAGGCATTGCTTTTTGTTTAGAGACACATGAGCTGTGTCTCTAAACACAGAATTTGATGCTAAGCAAAAGCATCTCTTCTGTGGTGTTTGGCTGACTTTCAAATGTCATAAGGAAGTGATCTTTACTGTGATACTATAAAGAACAAGTATACACACTGTTTCTGAGGGAAAAAAATAATATTCACTGATCTTTTTTTTAAGAGCGTTTCTTATTTGTGAATAGCTTTTAACTTGGCATTAGAAATTGTGCCTTCCTATAAAGCTCTGATAAGATGCAAACCAAACAGGCAGCACAGCTGCTGTGAGTCTTAGGCATTCAGTATCATAATATTCGTTCATTATGAGAGTCCTTGCCCTTAAACTGTCAGAACGAGTCTTTAGAGCTTTTTGCTCCACGATGTAGTGTTCATCAGTGTCATCCAAAATAGCTTATGCTCATTTGAAGTGTGCGAGTAGTCTCTTTGTCAAGAGCTGTGTTGAGAAGCAGGTCGGTAACACATGGCAATGGCTGGACACTACTGCGCTGCCCGCTTGGTCCTTGCGTTCCTGCAGCGGCTGTTCCTGTGCCGAGGCAATGTACTACTTGAGCATGAGCCAGCTGGCGCATCTTTCAACTTTTGTATTATTTGATTCATTTATCTTATACTTCTGTCAAGCCAGGTCTTATGAAATAGTGTTAACTGAAGTATACACTAGACTTCAAGTACTCCTTTCAGCTCGTGATTAATCAGGGCAGACACATTAACTTTTAAAGAAACCCTGTTGTTTGAAGGATATTTTTTGTCTTCCTCATAACTGTGTTTGGTATGTCAAATAGTTTTTAAAAGTTTAAAAGCAGACAGAGGCATCTGTCACTTGCAACTGAGAGCTTAACTGTGTTTGTATTTATCGTTGGTTGGAGAGGTCCCTGGCACTGCACACTTAAGGGAATAATCCTGCACGCTTAAGCTAGTAGATGAAGAGGACAGTTCTGGAACTGCTGTTTATTGTCCTTACCTGTGAACTGAGAGGCCTAAGAAGTTAACTTCCCCATTCCTTAACTATCAACCTGCGTGCCTTTTCCCTCAGAAGAATCTGCCTTGATATTCTGCATTAATCCATTTTGAAAAGGATTGACTTTTTTTTTTTTATCAGTAACTTCTGAGACAGCTTTGTTTGAGTGCTTTGCTACCTTGTACAAAATATTTTCTTTCAGCTGCTGCTCACAACATTAGATTGAACTGCCTCATTACCTGTGTGCTTCCTTCTGCTGGGGTTCAGCTGCATCTGTTTAAAAAATAGTGCACTTTATGTC